GTCTATTTATCACAAACATTGTCTTATTTCCAGCCAATCAGGGTTAATGTATTCAGTTAAGGAGATGTCATCTTTAACATGTTTTGTTGCGTCTCATAACACCAATTGAGTCGTGTTATTCGCAGTTTGTTCCACCTTGTCCACTTGTTCAGGTTTATTATGTTGCTTGTTATGTGAATAGTGTTGGACCTTGTGGAGTCAGAATTGATTTTAAGTTAAGGGTTTAGGTCATGTAATTTGCATAACTGTATAACTTGGTTTGCAGTGGTGTAGTGGTTATTTTGGTCACATGATGAAAGCGATTGCAAACAAGCTAACTCTTTAGCAAAATTGTTTTATTGTGGAGGGGAACCTGAAAGCGAATAAAATGTCAGTGATAGATGAGTGTTTAAAACCTACATTTTGGGTAATAATTTCACCGTTACTCTTCGTTTTCTTCTAAATGGAGTTTCTCTAAAACCTGTATCCTTATATGGCTGGTTGTTCTCTTCGTTGTAGCTCATCCAGATTTCAGCAATTAACTTGTTGAGATGGAGAGGGAGAGAGCCTTGTTTAATCCGAACATATGGTTATAGAGAAGAATAATGTAATTATCGCTCCAAACCCCCAAACTGTCTCCGGAGGTCCTCTCATTCCTCTAAAAAACACTACAAACAATTCATTGTCATAGCACATGCCAAAGGGAGGTGTGCGATGCATGCAGTGATGTGCCTCAGTGTGTTTGTGTGTGTGTGTGTGTGTGTGTGTGTGTGTGTGTATACTGTAGGAGTACATTTTGCGGGCATCTGTAAATTGAATTTTTCTCTCAAACTAATTATGAATTTCGACTCATGTCAGGCAAGCCCTCACGTTTCCATCTGAGCGTGATCGTGGGCTCATCGCAGCCTCCCCACATTTCCCCCTCCTTGTTATCCGTGTCTTTATTAAGCCAAACTTCTGCCGTCAGGAGCAGGTTGTGTGTGAGCGTCTCCCAGCGCGCCTTCCAGTCAACGCTCCACACTGACACGTGTCTGTATGTATTAATCACAGATGTCTATTTCTCCCCCTCTCTGGCCTCCCCCAGACCCCCCATGGCTCTCTCACTGCCCGAAGTGAGCGCAGCACAGGTGACACAGGGCGGCATGACTAGCCTGCCACACATCCATTAAACTGTGAGAAGCAGCAGGAGAGAGGGGAGATATTACTCAGAACCAGCAGTCTGCTCCAAGTTACACAAGAATCTGGTGGCATCAAAAGTTTGGCATGATTACTTATTTCCTGATCTCCCTGAGAGGTTTTGTGTATTATTCTCTATGTTTTAATTTGCCAGCTAAGGTGAATGCTTCTCTCACTTGTCTATATTTATTTTATCTGCATGCTAATGTCTGAAATACATGGTGCCTATCCTGGTTGAGTGGGAGTAATGTGGAGGGTAATATCTCCTCTTTGACATCTGCCCTCAGCCTCATCCACCTCGCCTCAGTGCCGCGGGCCCTGTAGCTCTGTCTGATGTCCGCTCACGCAAACACCACTGCACTCCACACACTCGAGCATGCACACTGGCACACACACACACACACACACACACACACACACACACACACACACACACACACACACACACACACACACACACACACACACACACACACACACACACAAATATACAGATTTGCTGCAATTAGAGTCGTATGGTGTGAGCTTACTGCCTCCCACTATTCTAACCAATAAGGTCATTTTGTAGATGAAGAAAGCAAATCCATTTCTACACGGTTCCCGTTTCCAATGCACTCCACAACCCTGTCTCTTCTTTGGTCCAAACAGTAAAATGAATATGTTTTACTGTATTCAGTGTCCTCATTTCTTTCTATCTGCATTGCCGTTCTTTCTTCAGAATCCTAGCCTTTTATTTCCCATTGGAATGTAAATGTAAAGCAAGTGAATGCAAAGCCATGGATGTTGTTTATACGATGGTACAGATACAGATATAGACAGCGTTATCGAAATGACTGACTGCAGCACTTAATATCAAAACAGTGTTTTTTTTTGTGGTCCTCATTCTGCCCAGACTTTTAAACATTTGGCTGTTTTTTGCCTACAAAAATCTTTGTTTGTCTCAGCTACATAATTGAATACCATTAATTTAGCGAGCACTGCCTCACAGCCAAGAAATGGTCTGATCTTTGTTTAAAGTGTGTCAGCTTTTTAGCCCTATTAGTAGTTTGTTCTTCTTTGGGGTGTGTGCAAAGCATTAGGGAGGCAGCACTTTAGAAGGTCACTAATGCACTCAGCCTGCTCCAGGGAAAAAAAAGGCATGTTGGATGTTTGTTTTTGGCTTTTTTTCTCTCTATTTACAGTGGGTTCTCTGGAGATGCAGCATGTGAGGATATCATGGTGTTTTGAGTGTGAGGGAGGAGAAGATGGGAGAAACATTTACCGCATTGCATCCTGTCTGCTTCTGCCTGCGGGGGTTTAAGGGCCGTGATCAGACATTTACAGAGAACAAAAGGGATGTTGAGCTCAAGACGGCAGTTGTGGAGAGTAATAAAAAAAAAAGAGGGTCAGAGGTTTTTGAAGTTCTGTGAGTTAACTTTCGTTCTGTTATGGCCAGGAGTATGTTGTTAAACAAGTGTGTAGAAGGCAGTGGAGCGATGGTGTGGGGTCACAGTGTCACAGTGTCTGAGGGGGAGCCTGCAGATAAGAGCCTGGGTGCCCGGCGCAAGGAGCGACTGCAGAGTACACCTGGCCTGGCAGCTTCACGCCATCCAGGGACAAACTGGGAAAGGCTTCCTCCTCGGCCGTGACCCAAACTGACAAAGAGAATCATGTGCGATGGTAGGAGCAAACAGAGGAAGGCTGACAGTGTTAATGTGTCACTGCGGTATCATGCAGAGGTTTCCGTGAGTGTACGTAAATGCTCGCGTGTGTGTGTGGCTCCGGGGCCGGTCTACTAACAGCTGTCCGCTTTTCTAACCTTTGTGTGTGTCATACTAAATAAAGGCAGGAGAAAATAAAATAGGTGAGAAAAACAACAAGTGAGAGGAAAAAGGTCAGACTTGAAGAAGAAAATGATGGCGCTGGAGTGCTTGCAAGTCAGAATTATAAAGTTATCACTGTTGATGCAAAACGTTAAATCGCTAGGGAGCAAAGCATCCCCAACACGTTGATTAACGAAATTAAATATAACCATCAATATCATATAAATCAACCTTAATTTAATTAGCAAAACAAATGAGAAACCATTATTTATTAGATTTTGTCTCGCACCTCACTCTATTAACTAATAATAGATGGCAAGACAAGGCATGCAGGGCTTTAAAATGATTATGATGCAATACATTGAGGTTTAGGGCACTTGTGAATCGTGACTATTCGCACTCTCTGGTACAGGTTTAAAGTGATTTCTCTCTGAGGATATGCAAGTGACATAAATGAACCAAACATCACCACAGTGGCTACTCTCAGTGGCACAGGAAATAGGTTGAAAGTGCTGCCATGAAGATAAGGAGCAAAAACTGTTTTGGGGAAATTTGATAGACTGCTGAAAGACAAGAGGAAGACGATCACCTCTTATTGAAACACTACTTTTCCTTCCTTTAATGCAACTTGATTGGAATGAGTGTAAACAACTTTATTTTTGAGTTTCTAGCCATATTTAACGTCAACATTTTGAAGACATTGCATCCATATTGAGTTTGTTTTGGCAAACTTTGTGTAAGACTGGGTCAGCATTCAGACACACACTCCACCGCTATGATTTCTGGGAATGTTTCACACTGCTTAGACGACAGCCCATTTTCACACAACCACTTTATTATTCTGTATTCCAAGAGCCGAGCTGCGACAATGTGAGACCCACTTTTTCCACGAGCCATGTTCTTCCTTTTTTTGCAAAGCAGATGCTTTTTTGTCAAAAGACGAAGATGAACAGGAAATCCATTTTCAGTTGCCCCTTTACTTCCTTCACCATCACTGTTTGCAAGAAGCTCTGTCAGCGTCAAGTCCATTTGTGCCGGAGAGCCAACACTTCCCACTTTGTGTAAAGCAAAACATTTCAAACAGAATCTGACCTGGTGTCAAACACTAAAACGCAGCCGGTAGATGATTTTTCTTGTTTCCTGTTTAAAGAAATAATGTCTTTTGAAATACACTTGAAACAATTCACAGTTAGTGCCATCGAACAAGACTTTGATGGCACTTCTGCAGCGGGAATTAACTTGTTGTCTGCTAGAGGGAAATGGATGAAATGATACAGGGAGGGTCTCCCTTAAGAGCAAAGTGAAGCGGTCCAACATGGCAGCCGGTGTCACATCCCATTCCTGCCAGGTCTGAGGAACGTCCAGTCCCTGACACTTGTCCAATCCAAGCTATCTCAAGCTTTCTCCTCCAGCTTCACAACGGCTAATCTCTCCTGACACCTCGCACAACCCGGACAGGGAATCACTCTACCCTGAAAACAATCCAGCCCCCCCCCCCCCTTTCTTTCCTCCCCAAATCGGCAGCAGCCCCCCCTATCCTTCTGTCCGTCTTCCTTATATTTCTCTTTACCCTCTCCCTCCCTATCTATCCCGTTCCCATTACTTCTCTCTGTGGCCTACTCTTTCTCTCGTGTCTCCATCTGTCTTTGTCAAACTATATTCCGCTCCTGTTCTATCTCGCTCAATCTTTCCTCCACCCTGTCTCCCTCCTCCATCCGCACTTCCTCGCTGGGTATATCATGCCTCTGTTGATGAGAATCTGTGAAAAGACGCTGTGATTGCCGATTGAGGAATAGCCTGCATTTCCTTAAGGACTCGTCAGCATTCAAGAACGGCCTTTTACTCCACAGTTGGATGTTGCTAAAGTTGGAAGTCCTTATCTCCAAGCGCACCTTTACAGATGGGAGAGGCTCCACAGGATCACTTAGAGATGGCGCGCATGAAGCATACACACAGACATTTCCCTCGACACCCATTTCCCTAAATATACCGTTGGTTTTTTTCAGAGAAAAGAGAGATGAGGGACTTGCTGATAAAATCATCTTTTAATGTTTGCACTGGCAGGCCATTGTTAAAACGTTTGGTTTAAACAGAACAAAAACACATTTCAAGTCATGAAGTCTCACAAAGCAAATGAGATCCTTGTACAGATCATTTTCCCTATTTAGCGTTTTTTGGGATACAATAATTCTCGTAAGACAAGCCACTCAAAAAATCCCATTTATTATTTAAATGTATTCAACAATTCCAAAAGATAAGATAGACAAACATGTCATATATTTCATTTACAAGCTGTTTGTTCTTCTCGTTATATCTATAGAGGCTCCCCACCCTACAGAGCACAATCTCATTGGCTGCTGAGGAAAATATCTGTCATTGGCTGTAGCACAGAATAACTCTGAAAAAGGAACGATGTAGCTATGGCACATGCTAAAATGCAGACCCTCACCGGTATGCAGAGACACATACACACTCACACTCACACATACGTGCAGTCATGATTGAACAAGTCACTCACCCAATCAATTTCATTCTCAAGCAAGCTGTCAGGCAACCATGTTGAGTAAATATTACCATAATGCCTGTGTGTCAGTGAGTATGCAGCTAATGAATGGATGACATCCAGTGAGGCTCAGAGACACTGAAACAGAGAAATTGCCCACTCACTGTTACTGTGGCTGAACGCCCCCTCCACCTCCCCCATCATTCTCTCCGTCTTTGTGACTTACTCTCCCTCCGCTACAAAAGAGGGCCTCGGAGGTCAGCACAGCAAAGAAGAAGAAAAAAACTGTTCAAAAAGGTTACCTCTGAATCTGGAGATGTTTGCTTCATCACATGCCCGGTGGTGTCGCCGAGCAGAGCATCTACATAAAACTAAACATAGAAAGAAGACGATTTGAACTCTACTTTAATCCGTACAGCAGCAGGATATTGTGTATGTGCAAACAGTGTGAGGTGGTTCGTGGTAAGGATATTTTCTAAATGAGATGTTTCCTTTTTTTAGATACATTATAAGGAATAGTGCAGAATGAATTCTTATTCTCCACATGAACAATATATAGTTACTTTGCTGTACCCAGCGATGAAGAAAAACACCCACTGTCATGAAACACTCAGTCTTACATCGTCTTAAAGATTTCTTTTTCCAGCTGTTAGATGCCTGAGCTGCATCACAAATAACATCTGACAAATCTGTTCTCTCAGTCAAACGGGATATGTTCACAAGGGACAAATATTCTCTATTTTTTTAAATCTCATCTGTGTAGAATATTATGCATGTCTACAAAATAAAAACACACTCTTAAGGAAAATCGCACGGAACAACACTACACTTGAGTCAATTGAGTCCACCGACAGTACAGCTGTTGCCACTGTGGAGAGAAGAGGTGAGGTCATCCGCTTTTTGCAGGGTTTTTCATTTTTGTTGATATTTCTGTGCAATGGAGCAGGGTTGAAGAGGATAGACACTGAAAGCGAGGACCTCCTGACACGTAGGCATTGTGGCGAGGAGATAAAAACAGCCCACCTCCACCCTACATCCTCCGCCCGGCCCCTCTCAGCGTGTCCTCGGAGGCTTTGCGACAGACTCGGCTACAGAGCCTGGATGTCTCGGCTGATGGATACAAAGCAGAGGTGTCCGTGATGATGGAGAGAATTAGGAAAACTATAAAGCATTCCAGCTTTTAACACACACACCCAAACCCACCCAACTCTTTCTCTCAATCTCTTCCTATCTGACTGTCTCTGTGTCTGTGTGTTCTCAGTCTGCGTACAGGATGAAGCCATTGAAGGTGCTGTACTTGTTGTTGTTCCCTCCGTGGGCTTTGCCTCCGTCCAGTTTGATGTACACCTCGTCCCCTGCGTCCAGATGGAGGATGACGCTGTTGGAGGCGTAGTCGTAGTTCTGGTCTGCGTCCTGGGCGATGGCACTGGCACGAACCTGGAACAGCAAGGAGAGGAGAACATGTTGGAGAATGGTAGGCTTGTTAGCTACAGTTCATATGAGGACAGTAACTTCATTGATATGGGAAATTCCCCAAATAGGTTGACATTTCAAAGTTCTTCCACGGGTAGAAAGATTTTCTTCATTATAGAATAAAGACATTCAGGGACTCACATTTCGTTACTAAGGCTACTCACTCTCCTACATTTGTTATTTTATTAATAGAAAATGCTCATAATTTTTCAAAGATACAAATCTGCAAGAAGAAACACATAATGGTTGGGAATCTTTTGATATAAGTGTTAGTTTTTATACATTTGTTTGGCTGTTAAAGAAAGTGCAGGAGTTTATGAGAAAACAGAACATATTAAAAAATGTCCGGTTTCACAATCATAAAATAATATTTTAGAAAGTTGCTGGACTTTATTTGAATAATACGGTGAAAGCGTTATGCAATATTGTGCTAATTTAGAAAGAAACAAATGAAACCAAGGTCTTTCAAACAACTATTCAAAATGCAATTGCAATAAAATAGAAGTGAAAAGTGAAGAAAATGTATTTCTTTTTAAAATCTCACTAGATTGAAAAGTCACTATGCTGCTGCACCAACAGAGAGTAACGTGTTGCACAGAGGAAGAACGTGAAATGTACCTAGACATTTTAATGTCATAAAGTTTGTTGGCACAAGTAGTTCTTCATATTGATATTAAACGTACAGGAGCAACCACAGGGTCAGGCCAGCCCCAGGCCTCTCTGTCAAAGCAGATTTATGGGTTCAATCAACCCAGCGGTCCAAAGACCTGACACTCGACCTCGGAACAAAAAGTCCACAGAAAGTTTAGAAACTTCGCAACATGGCTGTCTCTGTGGGTTTAAACCTGTGTAATAATAAATAACAGAAATATATACTAAAAGTGACATGAAGGATGCCCCAGCAGACATGTTTCATAACAAATAGCGAGGAGAGACAATAGTCTTTGGAATACCTTTTCATATAATACAGACATGTTGTATCTATATTTGGCACTGTGTAAGTAATATATACGTGTGTGTGTATGTGTGTGTGTGTGTGTGTGTGTGTGTGTGTGTGTGTGTGTGGTGTGTGTGTGTGTGGTGTGTGTGTGTGTGTGTGTGTGTGTGTGTGTGTGTGTGTGTGTGTGTGTGTGTGGTGTGTGTGTGTGTGTGTGTGTGTGTGTGTGTGTGTGTGTGTTTGTATTCTGCCAGTCTGGTTATAGGACATTTGGAGCAGTTTCTAAATAACCTGTCCTGACTCATTAAGAGCGCCACCACAAACACGCTCTATCTCTCTTGGGAGGTAAGTGTAGATGCAATGCCAAATGGGCGCTGAAACAATAGCTCTGTATGACGTAGAGAGACTAACTGTACATGTTATAATGAATGACTTGCTTGCTTGAAAACGCTGTATCACAGTTGCAATTTTTAAGACATTCAACTGATTGTTCTCTTTGCTACATCAAATACAAAAAGGGAGGATGAGTAGAAGGTTAGGGGGAAAATAAGTGACATACAATGAAGGTCTCAGGCTGCATGTTGCCTCCGTCTGTCTGAGTTACATATTTCCCTCCACAACGCTCTTAAATGTTAACTGCATTCTGTACAGTGCAGTGTTTAGTATTGGGATGACAAAGAATGCTGAGAATAAGCAATCTTTACGCAGCAGAACTAGAGTAGTTGCGTGAGTATCAATTGGCAAAGAACAGACTGACAGCGAGAAGCCACAAAACAAGGAGAAAGAAAATCTGGCTGGAGTTCAGGCCTGGCAGAGCATCACAGATCTTTGGGTCTAAGGGTCAAAAACTGCAGAACTTCATTTACATTATCTGCCAGGTATCTTTGGTCAACTAAAATTCACTACAAAAATTGTAATTATTACAACTGTCCACCCAGTATAGATGCAAAATGAAAATGTAATATTGCTACTTTAACCAAATAGGCATTGTTTAACAATTCAAACAACAAAAATGGGCCACTCCTCAAAGCGTACACTCAGCGCAGTATCTCAGTAACTAACAAGGATAACTGCAACCCCAAAAGATCATTATTTTTTCTCTTGAAAAAATAAATAATGTTCTGTACATCCTTAAAGGTATCCATTGGTTGAATTAGCCAATTAGTCGCTTAGTCTGGTCAGTGAGGTTGAATTCAAATCAATAGTTTACGTGCATTTGAAGTATTTTTCTTGTGGCTCATTATCGGGTCTCCTGGCCCTTACCTTGGCCCGCTGTTTGTCCACACAGCTTTAAATTGTGGCTTTTAAAGAGGGTTTCGACAAGCAGGCCAAACAGGAGGAATAGAGGATGCCCAATAAAAAGTCGGCTTATTTAAGGAGTAGACACAACAGACGTATTGACAAATGTTCAGAGTGGCCAGCTACAGGCAGAGACCTCCTGCCATATTGCCAAAACTAACAGGGAGCAGCTTCTACTGATTTTAAATATATTTAAGTCGTGTTTTTTGCTATATTGAAATAATCAAGAGTTTGTTTTTATTTTGGTTTGTTCCCTTTTTTTTCTTGTATTGTTTTACAAATATTTCATAATTACCAGCTGTGACTATTTTTAGTACGTTCTTCAAATTGACTTCTCTGTTTAATATTGTTCGTACTCTTAATGCTCATCATCATCAAATGATTTTTAACAACCTGTGTTGGAAGTCTGCAGAGGTGTGTCTTATTAACCCAAATCATTGAACAGATATATGGAAGCCATTTTGAATCATTAAAGTTGATTTACCATGTCTTAAAAATCCGCTCATAAATCCGAGAATAAAGTTATTTCTAAAATCTTTTTGATTATTATTTTTGTACCTCTTTGTGTTTTAAAGTATTGCACAATAAATCAGAAATGGCGCATGGAAAAGGAGATGCACAAAGAACTTTAGGAATAACTGGTGAATGCTGTTTTTCTCTTTAAACCAGACACTTTTGGATTTTAAATGGTTAAAAATAGTTGTATCCAGATTATGTTTGTAATGTTAATTAAAATATGTCTGTTAGTGTCAATGGATGTTATGCGCCACAGGTCTACTGTCCACCTGACATCATGCATCAACAGTATAAAAGTGATTCAATTGAATTCAATATACGTCTGAATAAACATATATTTGTTGTCATTAAATGTCCTTACCTATATATTCATACCATTTGCTTTCAGTAAAGGTTTTATTTACGTCTGTTATTAGACCTATGTTGAGCTCTCTAAATTAATGTTTTAACCATTGGTGCATGGTGTCCACTGAAGTGTACCAAAGTAATTCCTTAAAATAACATATATTTAAATTAGATTTTTCACTTGTTTAGTAGTAGTAAGTAAAAACAATCATAATAGATGTTATGAATTTGTGATTGAATAATAAAATAGAAAATGTAAATTGTTCATGAACTTCATATTCAGTAGTTTGTTTCAATGGAACAGTATATGACACAGCAATGTATTTCTGAAATGTGCTTTTTTTTCCAGTTATACGCCAGTGATAAAAAAACAAGACATTTCTCCACCGAAGCATGTAAGCAACCTAAATACTTTTCTCCTTGTCAACACATCGACAAACAGTGAGAGTTACGCTAAAGTAAAGGTGAATCAGCACCCCTGCTGTAAAAAACATTAAGGCGTGAAGGTACGTGATATCTGACATTGAACCCCCCCCCCCACCCACAGCAGGCCGCAGGCTGCCGAATGTTGCTCACATGTTACAGAACATCTCTTCACAACACTTAATCTGTGGGAACATTTCTGCTGTTATCACCACAAAATCACCTGAGAGCTGTCAGTGTTTCTTGTTGCTGCAGGATAACAACTATTTATGAGCATTATTTACGCTGATTGTCTGTGATTCAGCATTTGATATAGGAGTATAGACTGCAAATATACTCAAGTGTCACCGCAAAAAAATACTAACATTTTCATTTACTTGCAGATTACTTTGCTTTCAAATCATTCTGAAGCTTTTAGTCATACATCAATACTTTTGCTGGATTTCTTTTCCTCATTCAACCAATCAGAAATAGTCTGAATGATTTTCAAAGGGAATCTGTCCTTTGCGTTGCCTTCGTCTCAGTGTGTTGAAGCAGAGACAAGCAAGGTCGACACTTGTTCAGCCATCACAACAGAATTATTGCCAGTGATTTGAAATGAAAACATAATTTTATAATGGAAGGTTACATGAACAAGGAAAGGGCTTTTCAAAGCTTTTAAAGTGAGCCAGTTGAAATTAAAAGAGCATCAAGCGTGGGCACAACACTTGAGGTAAATCTTTGTTCGGATGATTCATTTACGTCAGCATTTCAGTCCAGCAAAGAGAGAAAAAACTGTACTCTGTGTCTTCGAATCACCTTCCTTATGTTGAGAGAAGGATAAGGGTGTCTGTAAAGGCTAATCTGAATAATTAAATTCTGAGGAGAGGTGTTAAGATGCAGGAGTAATATATGGAATATTGTACTTTTTATTGTTTATCCTCCTGATTAAATCTAGCACAGCTCATATCGATGTGCAAACAAAGCCTCCTGTTCAGATTCTGAGATGCAGGCGTCCGGAGCATATTAATAGCGTGCAAAAGTCAACACCATCCTATTAGAGGTTTACCGCCTAGGGTTGGTGAGGAGGCGGCTGATGGTGGCTCAGGAGGATTTGTCAGTTGGGATTTTAATGAAACTTTATCAAAATATTTGCTTTGGAGGTGTTCAATCTGAACCTGGGAACCTCTGGCAATGTCACAGATGTGTAATTTCTTTAAATGACTGCCTTCATTTGCTCGTCGTCACGTGCATGATTTATGTGTTTTTGTGGGATGGTGAAAGACAATATAAATGACATTCTTTTAGCAGAGACAGTATGAGCTTAGACCTGGTGAGAGAAAGCTTCTCTGAAATCCTTCCTGTTCTTCCTCAATGATATTTTTGTTTTGTTTCTTTGCTCTAATGGTTTTTATCCCCTTCTGAGACTCACTGCTGTTGTTTAGGCCTCCTTCGTTTGCTATCA